GAGGCAGATAGAGGAAAGACTGAAACAAGAGGAGAGAGAGAAAGAAAGACTAAGAGGGGAGGCTGAGGAAAGAGAGAGAGAGAGGCAAAGGAGGCTGGAAGAGGAAGAGAGGCTGAGGGAAAGACAGAGACAGGAGGAAGAGGAGAGAAAAAGAAGGGAGTTAGAGAGGAGAATGCAGCAGGAAAGAGAGCGAGAGATGGAGATGAAGCAAATAGAAAAACAGAGAGAGGAGGAGAGAAGGGAGGAGGAGAGGGTGCGACAGACGGAGAGGGAAAGATTGGTGGAGGTGGAGAGAAAAATGCAGGAGGAATTGGAAATGAAGCGAGAGAAAGAACTGGAGGAGAAGTTGAGAATGTATAAAGAAAGAGAAAGGGAGGGAAGGAGTGCAGCAGATTTGATCAGCTTTGACTCTGAAGATGTCCCTCCGAAGTCAAAGGGAGACCACTCCGAGACCGCTGAGAGTCCCATCAAAGTTGTGTACGATGACTTCTCCGTCAGGAAGCCTCAGATCGAAGTGGATTTTGACGATTTTTCAGTCAAGCCGAAGAGATGGGGCTCTCAGGCCAAAGCAGAAACTAGTAGTCCAGTCGTCCACAGCTGGACAACCAGTCCTGTGGATAGAAGAGAAGAGCTGGAGGTGCTGATGCCCCTGAGTGTATCCCCTCAGGAAAACTACGCACCCAAGCATGTTGCAAAACTAGACAGCCCAGAGCCTCCTCCACCTGTGGAGAAAGCAGAGGAGAAGGAGGAAGTGGAGGAGAGGCCAGAGGAGGGACAGCTCATCTCAGTACAGGTGGAGGAAGAGGAGGAGAAGGAGATGGAGGAAGAGGAGGAGATGGATGAATCAGAAGAAGAAGAAGAGCAGAAGGTAAATACTTTTTCACTTGAAATGCAACAAACCATACACCAGGAAGTTAAATGCCAGATTCATAGTGTGAGGTTAAAAGAGCAGAGACAGGAGTGTACACGTAAACATGATTATTTCACCACTGAATCATATCAACCTGCCAATCTCACACACACACACACACACACACACACACAAACACACACACACACACACACACACACACACACACACAAACCTCACCTCATACTTATCATACTTGTTATACTTGCTTTGGCCTAATTAAGTTTCATGTCAGAATGTGTCTCTGTGTGTGAATGTGTGTGTGTGTGCACTAATAGGACTTAGAGATATGATCCCATCACACCTGTCTTAAAGTTTTTACATTGGCTCCCAGTTTGTTTTAGGGTTTTAAAATTGTATTGATTACTTTTAGGGCTCCTCATGGCCTGGCCCCAGGGTATAATTCAGATCTTTCAGTCGCCCATTACCTCTGTGCAGCTTGCAGTCTTCAGGCACTTGCCTGTCTGCTGTCTCTTGCTGAATCCAGGCTGAAAACTTGACAAGACAGAGCGTCATCCATCCGGGCCCCAAGGCTCTGGAGTGAATTGCTTGAGGAAAAAATGTTGTCTGAGACTGTCGTCTTATAAGTCGCCGCTAACAACTCCCTTTTGCATTGTAACCATTTGTCTTTTTGTTGTGCCGTGCAGTAAATTCTGAAGTCCTGGTTAAGGTTCAGGGTCAAATATGAATTTTGGTTAGGTATGGGTTAGATATGACTTTCTCTTGGTTAAGGTTAGGGATAAGGTTTTAGTTTCACTGTCCCTGGAAAATGTGTGTTCGGTTGTGTGTGTGTGTGTGTGTGTAGATGTGACAGTGAGTGAAAAAAGCAAGCAAATCCAAATCTGTGTACCACATGTCAGTCTATAGTGTTTTAAAGGTTCAGTGTGAAAGATTTAGTTGATTTTTGGCAGAAACTGAATATAAAATAATCCTAGTGATGTTTTCACTAGCCTGTCTCATCTAAATTGAATGAATTCTTGTTTTCTTTACCCTAGAATGGGCCCTTTATATGTAAAAACTTTATATTTACATGGAGGGGGGTCCTCTTCGTGGAGGCCGCCATGTTTTTTTACAGTCGTCCAAACTGGACAAACTAAACACCTCAGGAGTCCCTTATTTCCCCGATCCCAATGAATCATATGGATTTTCCATCCATTTGCAACAGTACATCAAACTGTATGAACTCTATGTCTGCCGATGTGTGATTAATGTAGGAGGGAGGTTATGATAACCACAAATGAAACAGAACATGAGGTTATGACTTCATCCGAATTTCTATCAACAATTTTCACTTTCATTTCTTCTTGTAAGGAGGAAGGCATTATTTCATACAGGCATTTATCTCCTCCTCTCTGCATACAGAAATGTTACCTTGCAAGCACAAGTGGTTTTGCAATGAATTGCAGAGCCAGCTCAGCAATTTGCCTCCTCTGTGAGAGTTCCAGCTTCTATGTTATAGATTTATTTTTTTGAAGTTGTTTGCACTAAGACACAGCCATTTTGTGCATTTGGAGCCAGAGTCTACGCTATAGCGAGGTCCCACCAATACACAAGCTCGTCTCAGTCAACCATGATGCTTATAGAGCATCAAATAGCTGTTAAAAGCCAGAATAATTAGCACATGATATACATCATGTAATAAGAACTAACTAAATTGACAGCAACCATCTTTGAGAATTGATTTTTATTGGTTCGATTTTGACATCCACTAACACTGAGGATTTATGACCTGTGCTGTAGCCACCCACTAGATCAAAAAACTTTTACTTCACTTTTGTGGATCTGTCATGTTCACCATCTTTATATACAGTCTATGATTTGAACCTGCAGCCATCAGCTGGTTAGCTTAGCAGACTTGAAATAGGGGAAACAGCTACCTCTGCTCTGTCTTCAGTTTTTTTCTTTTTTTCTTTTTTTTTATTCATACAAAAAACAAGCTGTTAAAATCCTCTACCGCTTGTGTGGGAGTTGTGTGCTGGATTTCAGACTAGTCAAACAAGCTGTATCGTGTTTATCAGTGACCTTAAAATGTCATTTTTTTGCTTTTAGATAGAGCCAAGCTAGATGTTTCCACCTGTTTTCAGTCTTGAAGCTAAGCTAAGCCAACTGGCTGCTTAAGATTTGGTGCACGAACCTGAGAGTGGTACTGATCTTTAACAATCCTTATCTGTTTTCATGACAAGAGGAAAGATTCCTTCCTCTCAGTAATGTGAATTTTTTTAATTTCACATCCATTACAACATTCAGTCATGAATTGTAGTTCACTTTAAGTCTATAGTTGTGAGGTTAATAGTCAGTAGACTGATAACAGTGACCACTTCAGTAAATCTTTAATCTTACAAATTCGAGACCTTTTTATCAGAGCTAATAACATATTTTCCAAAAACTTAAAAGAGTCTTTATTTAATAAAATATTTGAATAGTAAGAGTTTCTAACATAAACTTCATTTTCTGCTTGAGCGAAATCTCATTCAAAGGCTCATTACAGTGTTATTGCAGCTGCAGTCATTAAACCATATCTGAACTAAACTCTGGGTGGATCCACAAATCAACGTCATCGCTCCATTGCCTGAATCAGTCTCCCTCTTATCAGTAGGGAGTGTAACACTTGTTACTGTGACATTTTAGCCTTGTTGTATATATTAGAGGAAGAGGCTTAAACCAAACTACAAATGGCCTAAACACAAAGTTAAGTTTATTGTCAAGTACAAAAATTAAAAAACATTTAAAACAAAAAAAAGAGAAATAAACATTGGAATTCTGATGGCGGAAGTTTGATCACCATGAAAAGATAGATAAAAATTGTGGTGAAGTAACAGAAGGCTTGTGGTTGCACATCAAAGTGACTGGGCAGATGACAGGGCCGTGCCAGTCAAGACAGATCAGTCAAGCACCTGTTTGAACATGCAGCATTTTTGCAGAGTTAATGAAAGCAACGAATCCTGGAGCCCTGAACTGTGTGTATGCACAGTATGTGTGCGTGTCTTTGTGTTATCATCGTTCTGTTTGCAGCACACACACTTAAATAAACAAATCATAACCCACGTAACCAGAGAGCTACTGCAAAGGGGCATTGTGCATAGCCACTTCCACGTCATAAGGCTGTTAGTAGTGAAGCGTTGGTCTTGGCTGTGCTTCCTTGTTTTAACCACTGAGTGGTGCTGCTGCTCTTACAAATTGCTCTTCGTCATGCCCCCTTCCTGTAGTTTATCTCATGCAGAGCACCTTACGTTGCTATAATATGGCCGCCATAATACTAAACTGAATGGTTTCCATTGTTTGATAAATAAAATGTATCATTTCTATGGTGCAAGAAAAACAAGGAAACATTATTGTGTGGCAGAGAAAAGCAATTTGACTCAGCAGAAGGAGGTAAATGTTTACTGGGCAAACACGGGCTGTGCAGAAGACCGTGCACTCTCTTTCACTGACAGACTGAAAGACAGACAGATTGATGGACGGATGGAAAGATGGAAGGATGTTATAGTAAGTAGGGCCTAGGTGCTATGTGGTTATCATGTCCTCATTTGGATGTGTCCAACAGGGAAGCGTGTCAGAATGACCATACATGGTGCCCCTATCTCCTCTCTTTCTCTCTACTCAATCCCTCCACCCTATTTTGAGAGAGAGCCTGTCACCCCCCTGCACAATCACTCACACATACACACACTTTTCTGGCAGACGTACACACAAAGAGGTTGGGCCAAACCACGGACAAGAAAGTGCACATGTCCACTGTTCATCATGTCGCTCATCTATCCCGTGCTGCATGTTGCTCAAACTTTCTCTCAACTTTCCAGAAGTCTGCCTGTTTTCTGCTGTCCTCTCCTCCCTCTCCTCTCACAAAGACCTACCTTATTCATTACTCGCATGTAACTACGGGAAGAGAGCAGTGGTGGCAGGTACAGAAAACACCTTGGCCCCACTTACCACACCTTCCTTCCCCCTGGGATTTTTCCACATCCGAGCACAGACCGCTTTACTGTGATCAGATGTTGCCTGGAATCAGTCTGGTCTCGAGGAGATAAAAAGGGCTGATCTACCTCTCTGTGCGTGGCTTTGGATGTTTGGGGAAGCAGATATTTCCCACACTGCTTTTCCTTTTTTTTCTAAATGGAGAACGGAGTTGCGATGTGAACTGGGATGTAGGTACACAAGCAAACAGGCTTGGCTGTTGCAGAAGAAGTCTCAGCTAAAAAAGAAAAGAGGTAATGCTTGGAATATTTTGAAAAAAGTCTGAAAAGCTGCTTTCCTTTTTTCACATAGTTGCAGTGAAAGTTTTTTTTATTGACACTTCTGTCAGTGTGGATAATAATGTGATGTGACGATGGGAAAGTCTATCTTTTGGGCGCTGCTGTTTTGGATGTCATATCCATCATTGTGAATGCTGCAGTCGAGTGGTGTCGTCCCAGAGCAAACACATGGCTGGTCATACTATTTACTTCTTTCCTGGCAACAAATAATAGACTGTTCCAGGAAGGTTGTGTGACCTGAACCATCAAAATATGGAAAGAGACGATGGGCACCGCTCAAATGGAAGAAGGACTATTTCCTGCTTTGTATGAGGTCAGAATCTGTCTTTCTGCAGAAGACAGTTTGAGTTTTCTTTAATGTCTGCTGCCTGAAAATGACAACTGAAAGCCATATCACACATCCAGCTTTTTGACTCACTCAAAAAAATCCCTTCAAAGCTGAAATTCAATTCCTTTGGTGGCCCAGTTTCCATGGTGACCCTAGTGCTTGGACGACCAGCTGTGTGAGCGTTACAACCATGCAGTACTTTGGAGGGAAACTGTCAGCCGCCCAGCTGCAGGTGGCGGGCTGGGTGGGCAACGTCCGGCGCTCCTTACAAGAGGCTCTGGATCTGGTGTGGAGCAACACTGAGGAGAAGCAGGAGGAGGAAGATGAGGATAAAGACGAAGAAGGTGGAGATGGAGGAGGAAGGTTTCAGAGGGCCGTGTCACCGCTCCGTAGCTTCGCCAGACGTAGCAGGAGATCCCTGCATCGCTTCTCCGTCAGAAGTCGTCAAAGTCTGCAGAGGAGAACCACTGAAACCTGCTCTGTAAGAGCTGATGCATTAACCCAGTAGATGGCAATGAATGCTTTTAAAATGCTCTGCATCAAGGTCAAGTCTAATTATAATCTGCTGTTTAATCAAAATGATATTTTACCTTAATGAGCTAAATTTCATTTACATTACAAATGCAATGATAATGAACGTAGCAGTTTTTAAAGCCTGAGTTCACTGCATTTGTACCATTTAAATCATCCCCTGGTCTAATATTTTCACACCCATGTGTCAATAGATGAACATGCAAATGTGAAGAGGAAGAGCAGCAGTCAGTGGCCATCTGTTTCATGAAGGATAATTATCTGAAAACGTCAGAGTTTTATCAGTACATGTCCTTTTCCTCTTTGTCCATGTTGTCTGAGATAAAGCAGAGGATCGTAACGGAGACTGACACACTTAGACAAGCGTTTATGTCTGTGCGGTGTGTGTCTGCAACTGGCTTTTCTTCACACTGTCATTTAAGTTCTTTGTCTTCACAGAAACTCATCTCACTATACCATTGCAGTTGTAACCATTACATTAAATTACCCATTACCCAGTTCATTCGATTTTTACATTGTAATATTACTTTTAATATATAAGAAGAATAGCTTCACGGCAAGAAAGTTTCCGGTTTAAATCCCAACTTAGCTCCTCTGCATTGTGTATGGAGTTTGTGCGTTCATGTTGTGTGTGGAGTTAGACATGCAGACTGTGGTGCAGATGATGGCTAGATAGAGTATGAATGATTTAGCTTAATAGTATTGCTTGTTGCAGGCTTTAAATAGGTGTCAATATGAAGCACAAGAATTACAACAGACCTCACGATGAAATAGCTTTCATAGTTGAACACTTTGTTCAGTCAGTCAACCAGGTATATACTGATGATAGCAGAATTTGTTTATTTCGATTCCTTGCTGTAGATTAGTCAACTATTTTGGTACCAACTGTGTCACACACAGTTCATATTTAGGACATCTCTCTCTCTGACTCTCAGTATTTCTCAGGTGTTAGCTGTGGGTTCGTCCAGCATGTGAGTGTGATTCTGTCTGTCTCTGTTTATATGTGGGTGTGCATTCACAAGAGACATCAAAAAGAGAAAACAACCTGCAGGCTACTTTCCCTCTTAATTAGACGACCCATCATTTTCCTTTGGAGGTGAGGTTTTGTTGTTTAGTTTCATCTGTTGCATTGGAGTCTCTGTTAGTTGTGCTTGTGGCATCTTTTGCGTCTTATCCTCTCCACACTCCAACACAAACAAGCTCTCAACCACCACATGTTATGCAGGTAAACTGTAATGAAGAGCCGACTCTGTCTTGACTTGCACATCCTCTGCCCTCATGAGCACATACTTTACAGACAGCTTACAGGTGCAGGTTTTTTGTGGTGTAGGGTTTTAACATACATTACACATGTCTACACGTGTGTAGATTTTTTCCAAAATGCTCTGTGTATCTGAATATATCTGGGAATCTGTGTACACAGGTAGACAAACACTGGACTAATAGATATTTGTATGTAAACATTGGCTTAAATGACAATGGTTTTATCACCCTTCAGCTCATTGTATTGGTTCTACGGCCGGAAACTTCTTTTCCTCTGGATGAAAATGCTTTGGTAAACCCTCTGTATGATACCTGCCCAGGAGCAAATGGCAGACAGTCAAAGTTAGACATTAACTGGTGAACAAAGTTCAACTGAGCCAAAAATATTACCCTCAGGAGTTGGTATAGGGATCAAAACATAGCAAAAAGGGGAGAAATACTGAACTTGAACTTGTCCATCAGAGCAGTTGTTCTGTTAACGTGTACTATTTTGCTTTTCTCAAGATTTGATACACGTGGATTAGCTGTTTCATTGGAATCCGCGTATCTGAGAATGATATACACTTGCTCATTCAGTGTTGCATGCTGCACACTTCTACAAGTACCAAACAGGAACCTTTGAGAACAGAGTGAAAGAGAGGTGATAGAGCTACATGACATGACTGAACAATAAGTTCAAAACATATACATTATGATATAACTTGATGAGCTGCACTGTTTACTTCCATGATAAAGGCAGGGCCTGCATGGTAATGGGGAAATTGCTCCATCATAGACTGTGTCTCTGTTCGACCAGACTTTGTTTTCCTCTATAACTGAACATAGTCTGTGGTCATAGGAAAATGTCTAGAAGCCTATTCACTCATGCTGTGATGCTGCCAGATAACAGGCATTGTGCAAATGAAGCTGCTGTGTGAATGCTGAGTAATAAATGGACGGAGGAAGGAGATGAGCTGGATATGAGATTATACGGGTTGTATCTAGGTGACAATATTCAAGAGAACAACACTGGGATGTGCCCCTAGAAAATGTGAAGAGAGTCTAAAGGAATGTTTGTGAGGAGGTGCACAGTAGTTGCTTTTGTGTGGAATGTGTGTGTGTATCTGTGTGTGTCCACCCATGCGTTCCAGCATGTGGGCGTGACAGCATGAGTGTGTTTGTATGCAGACGCACATAGGTGTGTATGCCAGTGAGTGTGCGCGCATACACACGCTCTCAGTGTTTATTGAGGACAGCCCAGTCTCTGTGACCGGCTCATTAAAAGATGCATGCTTGGCTGGTCCTCAGTCCTCTCTCTCTCTGTAGTTAGTGATCTTGGCTCAGCACACGGCCCATTTTCCCCCTGCCGCAGATCCACAATGTGAAAGTACTCATGTGCAGATTTACTCAGCAAAAAGGCACATGTCACATCATCATTTGATTTTGTATGATAAAGCTGTAGATCCGAAGAGATGAAGTCATTTTGTCCAGCAATATCAAATGGCTCCTTCACAATTTACCTGGTTCTGTTGTATAATATGTTTTCTTATTCATATTCCCTATAATTGAATAATCTTTCTGCCTCTCAGACACAGGTTCACAGTTATTCTTTAAACGGAGAAGACAAAGACACTGATGCTTTGATAGACAGTGAGCCTGAGCAGCTGAGTCCCAGCCATGAGCAGACATCTGAAACTGACAGGTAAGTGAGGGGTTGCACTGTAACATCATACAAAGTCTTACCACTAACACTGTCTGTGTTGTATGTTTAAGTAGCTTCATTTCTTTCATGTATGCTGATGAAGACAGACAGGACCAGACAGGTTTAAGTGTCATTCTTTGTGGCTTGTGCTGAGGGTGTGGCTCCACATGATGTGGTTATTTTATTCCAACTGAACACACCTGAAAAATAGAGGCCCTTTAGCTACCTGACATTTTAAACCTCAAAGTAAGTAGCCCGGAGGTGCAGGTCGGAGGGGCATGTTTATCTCTGCTTTCCTGCTGTGATCGGTGGTGAATCTGAAAAATAATCCAATAGTATTTTTTATAACCATTAGTTGGTCTGTTTTGTTTTTCACCTTAGAACCTTGTGTGATTCTGTTTCAGATATCACTAAACAGAAAATAATCAATCTAGTAAAACAAACAATTTCTGTTTTTGAGACATTATTTCTGACAGAATAACCAACTGCAGTTACACATTAAAATGTCACAGCAAGAATTTCAGGAATTGAACTCCCTGTGCCCTCTTGTGGTTAAAAGAGCACAACGTCCAAAGCCCGGGGGAGTGACATCTTGTTGTAAATTGATTCAAATGACTGAAACCTAAAGTGAAAGCACTTCAATTTACAATTCAAAATACACTTTGCAGTCTCTTCTATGTCTGTGACCCTAAACATTTTTTTCTTCAGTCCAACACTGATCCCTGACGAAGTTCCTGAAGTCGCCTCTCAAGATGTTGATACCCCTGATTTGTCTTCATTCCCTGAGGTTAGTTGCTCTTTGTTTCTTAAACCTCCTGGAGACCAGAGCAGTGACGAATAGTGGTATGGTCAGTAATAGTAAAATATATTCTAGAATTTAATTTTTTTATAGCTAGATTATGCGTGTGTGTGTGTGTGTGTGTGTGTGTGTGTGTGTGTGTGTGTGTGTGTGTGTGTGTGTGTGTGTGTGTGTGTGTGTGTGTGTGTGTGTGTNTGTGTGTGTGTGTGTGTGTGTGTGTGTGTGTGTGTGTGTGGGCGTACAGAGTGCCGCTCCACTCCTCGACAACAGCGCACAGAGATCCAAGGCCAATGTGGGAAAGAGGCGACTTCGATCACGTCCGTCACGCTCGCTCCGTTCAGGGCCAACTCCAAGGGACATGTTGGATTGGAGAGCTTGTGACACCACAGGTTATTATAGCATCCATAATATTATCTAATCACCATAGAGAGCTGGAGCTGATTCTTTAAATTCATAGAAAACAAGCAACATACACCAGATAGATTGTTCTCTGGTTTGACTCTTTTTGTTTCTAGATGGAAAGGAGGCATCTTTCCAGCAAAGGGAGTCAGATTCTGAGGAGGATCAGCCAAAACCGAAGAAAGCCTTACCTCCCCCTCCCACCTCTCAAAGAGTCCCCATGTTCCCTGGTCTGAGCCCTACAGCCCTGATTGTGAGCTTAACTTTATTTTCCCAAATGAAACATGATAGAAAATGTCAGTATTTGCATTGAGGTAAAGTTCTCTTGACTTCCTCCCCAAGGCTCAATTAAAAAGAAGAACAACTGGAGGAGGAGTGGAAACGGAAGACAAGAAGGGAAGAGAAGAGAGGGGAGGTCAACGCGAGGAAACAGCACCATCACCCTCACAAGTCTCCCGCTCGCCGCGCTCTGCTGCTCATCTTGCGGGGGCCGCACGAGTGCTGCCACCCCTGGGCGGCACTGATGGAGGGTAAGAACAGAGCACAACAGCACACTGGAAAATATCCAAACCTTAATGATGAGAAAATTGTTTTTTTTAAAAAGTATTTAAATGATGATTGGGATTCTGTTTGTCATTCAGTACCAGCTCTTCTCCTGCCTGGCTGAAAGAACTGAAGTCTAAGAAGCGTCTGAGTCATCATGACAGTGAGGCTTAGCCAGACACAGGTGAGTCATATGGAAGATGTTATAATTAAAAAAATATATAAAAAAATACAAGGACACAGGCAATCTAAATTCTTTCTTTACTAATTTTTGTTGTTGAAATTAATAAAAAACTAGAATGGCACATACCAAGGTCAAAGAGTCAAAACACATTTTAATTTCACTAGATTTTTATTTGATCTGCAGCCAACTTACACACACTCATAAATATCAGGCGATTCATTTCCATGAATTATTCTCTGAGAAATCAATGAAAATGTTGAAAAACGCCCTTTCTCACAACAATAGACAAAGTGAAATTAATGAATCTGTCCCCTGATCCAGATCGGCACCAAAATTAAATGGGTTCTTTCTTGGGTCATGTGCCACCCCTCTACAAAATTTCACAGATGAAAACATATCCTCCTCATTGGAGGTAATGATAATATAATATATATAATAATATCAAGTTGTGTTTTTTCTTTCTATCTTTTTGTCTTTCAAATATGATGCAGTGATCTTTGGGGGGGGAAAAAACATCTTTTGAATAACTTTCTGATATCTGCAGAGCTTTGATGCTGGTTTTTGTAAGAAGCACTTACTTAATAACAGAATCAGCCATACATGAGGAGTGAGCATGAAGGTTTTGACATTTGGCTTATGTAATGTGTTCCTGTAGGAGTGAAGGCGTTATGTAAAAGGACAAATTTGCCTCTAAGTCATAATTAAAGACAGCTGAATAGGTTTGTAATAATGGAGAATGAATGGTTTGAACCTTTCTGCAGGGCTGTCAGAAAGACTCATGAGTCACTGTGATGTATAGTTAGTGGAGACCAATGTGGACTTAAGCACCACTTGGGCCATCCATGCTGAAACTGATTACGTTCATATTCAGAAACCTATCTAACCTATGTTGTGTGATAAATGCTGAATACATTTAAACTTTGTTCTGAACCTTCTGTATCTCTTGTTGCCTTTAGGACACTGCCATAGCCTTTAAGCAAGGACCAATCCATCTCAGCTGCTGATGCTCCTGACAGACATCTTGTCAAGATTGCTCCATTTGCACTTCCAGTGCCTTATTGTGAGCCTTTACTGGTACATTCAGACGGTTTTCTGAATATAGAGGCCCTCGAGAACTTTTATCTTGTAAATGAAATAATGGTGCCAAGGCTGAGATGTTTTAATGCCAAGTTTTATGTTTTATTGACTGTTGTACAGAGGCTCAATGGAGGGTGAACACCTCAGTATAATTTAGAAAAAAAGCCATGTCTGAATGTGCAAGTCCATCACATACTGATAACACTAGACCTCCAGCAGAGCAGGACCATCATACACATGCACCCCTATATTATATATACAGGAACTACTGAACATAAATGATGGATTGCAAATTGTGTGTATTTCGTGGAAATTGTATAAAATTCCTTTTGCATTATTTTACCAATCACACATCGTCCCATGTAAAACTATCTAGCACTTTAAGATACTTTTTTCCTTCCATACAGTACGATAGATTAATCAAGGATATAACTAGAAACAGGGTCAAGGGATTTTCTTTTACTTTTTTTAACAACTTGAATGCCTTTCTTCTCTTCAAAGTTGCACAGCACGTAAGGATACAGTCCCTGGTTTTAATAAAATGCACAGTAGCTGATCTGGACATCAGCTGGGAGCTGGGAGGAAAATCTCAGAAATTCTGTAACAGATTCAGAGTGTGTGTCTCGTAAAATCTAAAAACAAATGTTTTCATCTGCTTGAAATTAATTTGCAAGTGCTTTTTTTAAACGTTAACGATTGACTGTCATCAATGCTGTAATCATTTCTGATCAACTGTCCGTATGATAAGAGGAAATCGAGGGGAACTTTATTAAACTTTTTCTATGAAATGCAATGGAGTGTGTTTTTTATGGGAAACTTGGCCTGCACATCTTAATAGATGAGTGAAAATGAAGAATTAAGAATCATTGGCCTATTTATCAGTTTTCAACTGGAAAAATCTTACTCCTATATAACAAGAGGCCTTATATAATAAAAAAAAATGTAAGTACCTTTCTAAACAAAGTGCTTTACAAAATGTATATGAATAAAACAACACACCACAAAACAAAAATAAGAAAGATAATGTAAAAAAGCGTTTTAAGCAATATTTAAAAATAATTAAAGTTCTGGCAAATCTAATCTCATCAGCAAGGAAGTCCAGAGCCTCGCAAAAGCCTTGATTTAGTAACTGCTAGCAAGTGTTGGTTGGAAGATCTTAGATTACGTCTTGAAGCATATAGAAAGTTATTAGCTCTGCAATATAACTTGAGGCCAGATTGTGCTGAGCTTTAAAAGTAAAATTTAACTGGCAGCTGATGAAGTGAGGCAAGAATTAGATATGTGCCCTGTGCGTTAAAATGTTGTTTTAAAGCTTCTGCACCAGCTGAAGCAGAAACACTGAGGATGGACTGGTATGTTCAAACAATGCATTTTAGTAGTCCAGGTGAGAGAAGACAAAGGTGTGTGCTGGTAATTGCGGTTGAATAAGGAGCAAAGTCAGCGCTGGTCTTTCTGAGATTGAATGCAGCACCAGCGGATGCACTCATCACATCAGATGTGAAATGAGCAAAGTGAGGAAGGACCATCAATGAGTTATACCTGTTAGATGAGTCACACATTATCTAACACTGAGTCAGGACTATATAAATTCAACACTACAATAATATTTTGATGCTGGCAAGAACTTCAGTTCATTTTGTATTCTCCTGTCATAGGTTGGCACATAAATACATGTGTCCTGCAAAGACTGTAAAGAATACTGTGTCAGATAAGAGGAGCATTTACCATTTAAGATAAGGAATAAGAAATACATTAATTACAAAAGGTTAGAAATTAAGATTTGCAGTTCCTCACAAACACACAATTTTAATACAGGAAAAGACAGAGCTGACGTGATTTTGGATTTATTTCATAGATGAACGTAATAAGATTAACAAGGTTATTGACACAGGCTTCAAGATTTAGTTGAGAGTCAAATGTGATACCAAGGTTTCTGGCTGTGGATTTAATATTGCTAACCAATAGACCAATAAATGGTTGAAGTATGCCTGCTGTGGTCAGGGCCAATGATTATTATCTTTTCTGAAATACTATTACAATAGATGTCAATACAATTATTCATGTTTTGGTGGGTGGCACCATAAGAAAGCAAGAAATCTGATGCAGCGCTTTGGATGCTGGATGAAGTGAAAGCTAAAGAAACAGGTAGAAGATGGGAGACTGCAGAGAAAGATAGCTGGGTGGGGCCGATAGTGCTGAGTGAGACTGATCCCTGCTCATTCTCTTGGCTGGCAACTGGTGCGTGTGCCCACTGTAGGATCATGGTCAGGATGGCAGCATGGGCAGAGCCAGGCAGTGTTTGCCAGTGTGCCAGGGACAGAGGGGCAAGCCTATTGAGATGCAGTGTGACGGACACAATGGGCACGACAGACTTGCTGCATCAACAGGCTTTTTGCTGCTGTGGCCAGAAATAAACCATAAATACCCCCGCTGGCCTCCACCGACCCGCTCGCCAGGCCTGCACACCCACACCCTCACACTGAGACAAACAGAAAAGAGAGATAAGACAGAGGAAAGACGGAGAGCGAGGCTCCTACGTGGTGCAGTGAAGCACAAGCCATCCAGGTAAAAAACTAAAAAAAGATCATCCCTCTATACCTGAGAGGCCTTTTCTCGCTTACGCTCTCCCTATTTCCTCTTCTATCTGCAGATGAGAACTTCCTTATTGGCATTTTGTGTGTGCCATATTGATGTCTTATACGTATATACCCTGTGCAACAGACACAACTAGGATTACAGTAAAATTAGATATTCAAATACTTGCTGTTATTTTTTGTTTATGGGCAATTGGATTGGGCCTAAGCAGTTTTTTTACGACCAACCATGTGTTAAAGTTATATTATGTTTCCAGGGATGCAGGATACATCAATGTATTCTATGCATTTAATGAAAATAATAATGCAAAATCTCTAAAAATGTAGTTGTTGTGCTTTGTAGAGGGAAAATGACAGAACAACAGGGAACCCCAGACCAGCTGCCTGCACAGAAGGGCCAAGGAGGAGCCGGTGCAACATATAAGGTGAAAAAGCTTTTCTGTTGATGTTGAAATGGAAATGTCAGAATCATCATGGGGCTGGGACTTTATTGATCAAGCCATCAACTCCACAACTCTTCTTATCTTGCAGTTGGCGGTTTTTGAGTTTGAGAACTTTCGTGGGAAGAAGGTGGAGTTGTCTGGTGAATGTAAAGACATGTGGGAGAAGACACAGCAAGTTGGCTCAGTCATCGTGGAGTCTGGACCGTGAGCGATTCAGTTTCCCCTCATCCGAGTTGTTTACCGTGCTCAGAGTTCATATTTTGCATTGATACGTGATGTGTTTTCTCCATGTCCTCAGGTGGGTGGGGTTTGAGCGTCCAGGTTTTGCAGGAGAGCAGTATGTGCTGGAGAGAGGAGAGTATCCTCGCTGGAGCACCTGGACCAACTGGATCAACTGGCAGAGTACCTACAGCCTGAGCTCATTCAGGCCCCTGAAAGTGGTCAGTATGATGGGTGTGATGTTTGCAGATGTAGACTCTTGCAAGTCATGCTCAAAGCTGATGAATTTCTCTCCAGGACAGTGCAGATCACAAGATGCACCTGTTTGAGAACACAGGCTATGAAGGCAGAAAGATGGAGATAGTTGATGATGATGTCCCCAGTCTGTGGGCGTATGGTTTCCAGGACCGTGTGGCCAGTGCTAAGGCTGTCAGTGGAACGTAAGCTGCAACCCTCTCAGACATAAATATTATTCATTGTTTTGTTCTCTTATTAAATTGCCCATTTCACCACCCCACAAGTGTGATATACTACTCATTGTCTTCCCTCTGAAGGTGGGTGGGATACAGGTATCCAGGCTACAGAGGGAGCCAGTATGTGTTTGAGCATGGAGACTTCAAGCACTGGAATGATTGGGGAGCCACTGCACCTCAAATCCAGTCCGTCCGACGTGTGCGGGACATGCAGTGGCACAAGAAAGGGTGCTACATTGCCCCTGCCCCTACACCTCCCAACCCCAACCCCAATCCCGATCCCAAACCCAAACCCAGTCCTAACCCTAATCCCACTCCCACTCCCAACCCCAAATCACAAACTCAACCCCAATCTTAAAGGCACACTTCCGGCACCTCCTACAGCAACTGGGGCAAGATGAAGGCAGCGAGCCAGGAGCCAGTCTCACCAACACACCAACTGTTAGTTTAGACTATCTGACCATGCAATTCTGGAAAACTTGGAACTGACAAACATGTATCTCTGTTGGAAATAAAAAGATTTGGCCCTGATTTTGGCAATCTACACATTATTGCATTCTTACCTTGAATATTATTTTACTTGCAACAAGGAGTACTACTCAACGCATAAAAAAGTTGTGCATTTTCTTTCTGTTGATCTGGAGAAACTCCAATCTGTAAAAATAACCCTTGCAATCAGAGGTCTCTTGGCTTGAGACAACTCATTTATAACAAAAGGCCTGTGTTACAAACTGAGGCATTGTTTTTTTAAAAAGAAATAAATATCCAAAGCAGGTCAAGTCAAACAAAATCATGCAAATGGTTGAATTATGGGAAATGTAGGAGCCAGTGATTTTGGAGCTTGACCATAGACTGTATATAAAAAGTGAATCCACATTAGAGAATAAAAGTCAGGAAATGTCTTGATTTGATTTTGGCCAGCCTGAATTTATTATTATTATTATTATTTATTTTATTATTTTAATCTATTTTATGGAAGTGCAAGAGTAAATGTCTGCATTCCCTAACAAAAAGGCCTATCAACAGAAAATACAGAATATACTTCGTCATGATAAAATCTTTCTTATCATTTATTTCCATTTATTTTTTTCCACAATATTTCTAAACCAAAGCGGAGTCACTTCCTGATGAGAGGGGTGGACCATCTGCCATTGGTTCAAAACACTGTTGGACCCGCCCATAAAGAAAAATCACTCAATCATACGTCATCGCCACTCAACAAGCGCGAGGGGTGGGCGGGGAACGCGCAAAATTTGAAAGTTAACCGGAAATATCGTTGACCGGGAGGAACAGAGTGTGTGCTAGGTGCTAACCAATGTTTCGTGTACATTAAAAATAAGAATCACATCCACCTGCATGGCACACGGTGAGTACACCCGCATCCCTCAGGTCAAGACGTGTGTGCGTGTGTTAGCGCGACCTGTTGGTTAGCGACGTTAGCAGACAGGCGTTAGCTAATGTCAGTTTAGCATGCTACAAAGAGACGCAGTGTTTACACACACACACACACACACGTACACGTGTATATTCACTTCGATGTGTGTCATGTCCTCAGGTCAGTTTTTTATTAGGAAGCCATGTTGAAGTTTAAGTACGTGAGTCAGGGGAGCCTGAAAACGATGCTCTCCTCCACGGACCCCATCGCCAGCCGCAGCTCGCGACTCAACCAGGTGTTCCAGGTAAAGTGTGGCTCTGGATCCTGACGCTGATGCTCTGTATCTGGATTAAATCCAGTCTCCACTCGGTTCACAATCAGCTGGAGTCATGGCTATGTCGCTGACTTCCTGTTCCCGTGTTGATGCGCTGTCCACAGGGCCGTGCCAGTCTGCGGGGGCAGCAGGGAGGATGCACTGTGGGCCGGGAAGAGTTCCTGGAGGCTCTGCTGCTCCTCTACCAGGAGTGCACCTCCCCGGAGCTGATGCAGATTAATACTGTGGCGAACTTTGTCAACAAGTGTAAGCATCCATATTACACATGTACAACATTTCTGTTTTGTTTAGATTTTAAACTACTTTAGTTTGTAGTCTGATGTGTGAACTGCATGATGGTGGTGCTGTTG